CGCTATCTGAACAAACTTCAGTTTCGGTCATAAAAAGTCATGTTTCATACGAATAACTTGGTTGTATTCTGTTTAGTACAGCAACAAAAGTACGGTATTATGTATGAATTGAAGGTGAGAGATGAAGTGGTTGCCATTTTATACTGTATATATTACAATTCATTATAATTTGAAATATTCCCATATTGTAAATTTAGAACAACATATATAAGCGAACAATATTGTTTTCGATTAGATCCTCATCAGGCTTTACTCTAATATACAGTAATATTTATATTCATATAATTTCGTATATGCATATAAATATTACTGTATATTACAGTAAAGCCTGATGAGGATCTAATCGAAAACAATATTGTTCGCTTATATATGTTGTTCTAAATTCATTATAAGCAGTTAGCAGTAAATAAACCCTTTAATAAAATTACATCTCCTTATTGGGATGAACTATTAAAAAAAGTGAAGTTTAGGATTTACTCATTATACTTCATTTCGCAGGCGAACTTCATTGGGAACAAAATGTATTTTAAAGATCTTCAACTAGTGAGTTCGTAGTTTTAGGGATCACTTTTATTGTAGAAAATTTCTTAACTTATCTCTGTTTGGAGAAATGTCAACTAGCTGGAGGATATTTCAAAACATATATATGAGCAGATAAGTTTCGTGGAATCCCAAGATCCCTTTTTTATATTCGTTAATAAGTATATATCTACTCTGAATTATTATCAATTTAATTGGGAAGATTAAAATGGAATTTCACCAAAATCATGAGGCGATCTAAGTTAGACCACCGTTGCAAACCTAGAAGCAGTAGACGGCCGTTTTGTCCTAGTATAAGATTTCTCAAAAGTGCGATTCCACGATCGTGCATGCGGGAATCAAACACGGGACCTCTTGTCTTGCGTGCAAACTCCTCAACTCTAGACCCTTGACTCTGTATCCAACGGTGTACAAGTCTAATTTTAATAAATCTACGAAATTGCGCGACAATTCATCATTGTTCTCCGGGTGTAACCGCTTCATATCTGACGCGGCTTAGCTCTAAAGACAACGGTTACTCACTATAACTCTGGAAATCCCCTCTCGGAACTGGTCACTAATGAGCATATGATAATTGTCAGTAAGGGGTTGTTGAGATTGTTTAACCTGAGGAGTTAAATACTAGTACGAAACTGCCGTCCAGTGCTTCCAGGTCCTCAGTGGCGGTCTAGCTTAGATCACCTTATGATTTCAATAAAATTCAACAATCTCCACAACCTCTTACTGATAAAAGAATATTCCTCATAACGTTTGATTTCCATATTATTCTTAAAACCCCCATGATGGCTAAATCAAAAAATATATGCATGCTTTATTTCATTGTTGATCGTAGATTACTGTTGACTTAATTATCTACCCCTTGACGTCAATTTTGACCTGTATAATTGATATACCTATTTTCATATACCATTCTCATATATTGGTTATCAATCTAGAACATTTCAGGGCTTTATTCTAAACTCAAATGCGGTATCGTCAACACACTTCACATATATTACTAGCTGCACGTAGTGTTTCACTGCTAAGTGTAACACAAAACTTTTAAAGAACACATACAACATTCGTTATGCACATTTGCTGAACACAATTAATTGTTCACTTCGTGGTTTGTTTAAAAAGACGTTTGACTGAAGAACTGAGTAGCATAATTTGGAAAAATGTTACGTTACAGCTCACCAACTTGCCTCTATAATCGTTTGATACATTATCCAGACATGTAGATATCGTATCTGATCAAATATGCTCCCATTTATAAATCTGAATTTGAAAGTAAATAGATTTGAGATTACGTGTCTATAACTATTCTCCGAAGAAAATGAATAATAGAATTTTCATGCAATTGTGTAAACCATAATTGCAATCTAACAAAACATTACCTAAGTGACATGCAAATTAGATAACTTTTCATTAAGAATTCACAGCGAAAATTTGTACGCGTATCCACTGTTTAACAAATATCGCTCAGTTCCAAATGTTTTCAGTTAACTCGATTCAAACAAAGATTAAAGTGGAGATTCTTAATGCTATTCAGACCCAAGATATCGCTGTCAACGAAGATTATCCAACATAATAGTTTATATAAAGAATAAAATCTTAGCACCAGAATCAGTGAAATGCACTTTTCGAACACAAATCTCCCTGGAAATTCAGTTTATAGCAACTATTTTTGTAACAATAATTATTCATTTTCTTTCTAGTTTCAGTAATCGAATTTTAATTGATTACGTTAAAATATCTTTTCAACAAATACAGTGAGACTCGATAACTAATATCAAATGCAAAATTACAAGCAAATAACTTCATGCGCTTAAATGAAAAGGTCCATTCACCATGCTAACTACATATATAGCCCCATAAGCATGATTTTATTCACAAAAATATTTTGGAGTTGAGAATTATAGTGTTGGATTGTTGCTCATTTAATAAAAATAATGATCACCCGTTATTTTATTTGCATGAAATCAAATCAAAGAAACAACTGATGAAAAGTAGCACATTAAGCTGAGACTGTAGCGAAGCAAAACCATCTTTCAGATTCTATATTTAAAAGATTGTTACTAACAGTGACATCGTAAGGAAACATTACCTTTATGTATAGTATATTCTTCTATTCACAAAATATTTTGAAGAAATATTCAACCCCACTAATAATGAATTTGTTAATTATCATATCATTATTAACTTTGGTAAATTTGGAAGCTGAACCTATTTTTGTTGAATTGTTTCAGGTCATCGTTCTTGATACATGTTTGCTGTTAAATACAGACATCAATGAATTGTGGGATCATTTCAGATATTTTAAATCTTCTCAAGTAGGTCCTTTTGTGATTTTATAAAGATCTTACCATATAGTTAGCAGTTACTAGAGGGTTGTTTGCTTGTTTGTTTGAACACATAAATACTGGTACAAGGGGGCACCAGATACATATGCGCCACACACATCTCATTTGGTTTGTGTGAGGGCTGTGGTACTGCCCGGGGGCCCAAACCGAAACAGGTGGATTCCTTAGGTGGCCACATCCGGAGCCTTCGATATGAAAGTCTGATCCACAAGGCAGTGGAGCATCGTAAGGAGATGCAGTCCCATGGTAACCGGTGACCAACGATTGGTTCCTACGCCATTTGTTCCTTCAGGATACTGGAGCCGATTTGCACCAGTGGTTTGAAATCAGGGTTTTCCAACTCTACAAGGAGGACTCTCCATGTCCACCAACCCAGTTAAAGCGCCGGACATTCGCCTTTCGTTCTCTCAATTTCGTAAACAACACCCGTAGTACGAGAAGGCAGTGAGTATGATTCCCTGGCAGAGGCTATATACGCGTGGCCATGTGAGAGCATTTCGAGAGGGAGAATGGACTCTCCTCACTCTCGGCCTTACCAGGGCATTTGGGGGCAGTTACTAGAGGGTGATAGCCAAGAAACAACTACCTTGCGGACATTCGCACCTAAAAATATTGGTTTATGAAGATTACTGTAAGCAGTAGTTTACTTTCACTAGATGTAAATGTTTTTTTTTTGCTTTTGTGTATTTTGAAGTTACATTTAGTTCTATACTTCTTACCTAGTTCGGTAGATGCATTCTTTCATTCTTATGTTTAGGACGCTTATAGTTCCACAACATACTTAAAAAGTTAATGGATATGAACATGAGTTGAATCCTACTGAAACAAGTTAACTAATTACCATCTGAGTTACCCTATGGCTGAGAAACTAATCAGAATTATGTAAAGATCTTACAAATCAATAGTTTTCACAGATTGAAATCATGAGTCAGTTGAAGCTAGACCACCATTGAAAACCTGGAAGCACTGGACGGCCGTTTCGTCCTGGTATGGGACTCCTCAGCAGTGCGCATCCACGAACCCGCACCACCCGGGGCTCGAACCCAGAACCTACTGGCTTCGCGCGCGAGCACTTAACCATTAGACCACTGAGCCGGCATCCAACGGTGTTAATGTCTAACTTCAACCAATCCACGAAGTTGCGCTACCGTACACCATTGTTGAAGTTAGACATTAACACCGTTGGATGCCGGCTCAGTGGTCTAATGGTTAAGTGCTCGCGCGCGAAGCCAGTAGGTTCTGGGTTCGAGCCCCGGGTGGTGCGGGTTCGTGGATGCGCACTGCTGAGGAGTCCCATACCAGGACGAAACGGCCGTCCAGTGCTTCCAGGTTTTCAATGGTGGTCTAGCTTCAACTGACTCATGATTTCAATCTGTGAAAATTTCTAAAAATCTCCACAAAACACATTCTGAAATCAATAGTTGTTAAGGTATCGTTTAAGGACCTACTACTGGTGTTATATCAACTTCGCTTGCTTCAACCTTACTATTATAGCCTATCAAACAATAACCGTCGTTTTATAAGTATCTATGGATATTTGGCACACCCAAAAATGTTTGTTCATAATTAGAAAACGCCATAGAAGAATTAATATATACTGCACTAGTGCTTCAGATAATACGATAAATAAAACGAAGTACTTATTAAAGTTGACTCAAAATGTTTGTTTCTTCAACATCAGATAGTAAATTGTTTAAAGAAAGGTAATAAAACAATTTCTTACTGATCATTTATCTTTTAATGAAGGTGAAATTATGGAAAAGACTACACCGTGAAATATGTTGGTCTAGTAAACTGAGTAATATAAGCAATCTTCTTTACTACAGTAAATAGACTATTATTCATCCAATATAAGATTGTCTTTATCATCAAATAATCTGTAATAAAAGTGACAAAAATCGCCTAGAAATATCAAATCACAACCTATTAGCTCATCTGTAACTCATTACATGTAAAATCCTTGGATTCGATATCCTAGGTAACACGATATGTTGACCATCGATAAATTAGAAGAATTCTCTGTTAATGAGTGTCCTTTTCAATAAATACTTGTTCATGATATAACCTGTCTTTAGGGATGACATATATTTCATTTCCAAAAAAAAATTAAGCACGAGAATGAATAAACATATAATTTATATTGAGTCGCTACCAACACCTTTTTTGCAGATTTTAGGAGTGACAATGGAACAAAACCCCGAGTTTGAGGTTGTCATGAAGAGTCTAATTAGAGGCTGGAGAGTAAGTAAAAACAAAAGATTTTTAATTGTAGTGGAGAATTTGTACTTACTATTATTCACAGTAAGATTATTTAGAATCCGCTGATTCCCATCTAGTTAATTTTTTCCGTGATAATGTAAAGTATGCATATATAAGCATATTTGATTTAACCAATTAGAAACATTTGTGCAATTTAATATGTCAAGGGAGACGAACACCACAAGTTTGAGTTTCAAGGAGACATCAAATGTTACATTTCTCCATTTATGTTATAAAAGTTGGAAGTACCAAGCACCTGAATCCGTTTAGCAATTCCACCATAATTCCTCGATCAATTACCCAGTAGACTGTATCCTTCAATACAATAGCAACACCTCCAGCAGTGTAAGATAATTTAAAGAATATCCTTAGTATGAGTTTTAATCATGTGTATAAACACTAGTCCATTTTGTGGAATTCGATTATGATAAAGTATCAACTGTATACACTTGATTTTCCATAAGTAGTACAATAAATCCACAGTCCTGAACAAACAACTACTATTTCGAATTCAAAAATAAATAAATAAGTTCTATAAGGCAGTATTGTAAAACGTGATTTCTTAAAAGTGATAAAAGTATTACAATGTTATATTAGCTATGACTTTTCACAGTAGATTAGACCAGTAAATAGATCCACATAGATCGCATAAAACTCCAAATACTCCTGACAGGCTAATTAAGGCATTAACGAAGTGAATGATCATACAGAATTGAAATGGGATAACTAAATTACCCCTAACGCTTTTAATATTATTTATCTAAAACTGAAGTTCGCATGAACCTACTCAAAGCGTTCAAATAACTGGGTATCAATTTTACATTATTATTAAGTCTAGAAGTTTTCCAATTTTAAAATACCCCATAACTTGAAGAGCTTCGAACTATCGATATGCTGATAAAGAAATTGTGTCCTTTTTGTACTAATTATCAACAGTATTTGTGAGAACTTAATCGAGTCAAAATTACTACATGTAAACACCAGAGGACTTAAATCTTAGCTGAACTAACGTTTCTGAACATCTTTAAGATTGATTTGGGTCTCTTAATTACCAACACTGTCCACGTCAGAAAAACTAGTAACCAATAGATGAATTAGTACAGTACTTCACTGCATATAGTAGTGATCCAACTAGGTTATTCGTGGTACTAATTTCGTTCAGACCTAAGATTAACTACACATCCACTTACCATAGCCACTTTCATAACAGTGTTTGTCAGTTGTGGCTATCGTAAATTAATTAAAGTTGAACAGACTCATTGTTCACAAAATGTAAACAGTTTTAAAAAAATCCATTTTTAAAGCTTATGTTCAAGTGAATCCAAATTATTGATGGTTAGGTAGTTTACTACAAACGTGCATCACATACATCTCAGTTATTGGTGCTCAAATCCAAATCCAATAAAAGACAGCATAAATTCGAACCCATTATAATACTTTTTTCAAGATTATTGATTGGTCTTGTTGGTAATTGTTCATAATCTTGAGACAAACTTTCATCACAACTACCTTTAAACGAATACATTAAACTGATATCATTAGTCCTCACAACTTGTTATGGTTGTAATTATGCATCTTTTGATTATATTACAATGATCAACAATTATATTGTTGTAAGCAATGATGGGTAAAGGCTAGCAATGGAATTCAAGACGCTCGTTTAATCCATTTTGGGACCCGTCAGCTGGATGCACCTGCATCTCAGAGTTGATGTTCACTCTGGGACTCGAACCCAGTACTAAACGCTTCAGCTACTGAGTCCTGCTAGCCACTTGTTTGTGCAATGGGGTGAATTTAAATTCACTTGGTATTGTTTGGCATGTATCTTCCCATTGAGGTTTAAGACTGCAATCGATCAGTCTGTTATTGGCGTATATGCATACTGTACGTATGCCTCGATATTGCCTTAATTCACAAGCTTTTTGTGAGCTCGTCCCAAATAGGACGAAACGCGTGTCCGGAATTCCACTGCTCGCCACTATCCATCATTGCTTACAAAAAGCTTGTGAATTAACACATTATCGAGGCAGTCCGCACACCATGCACATATGCCAGCAACAAACTGATCGAATGAAGTCTTAAACTTCAATGGGAAGATACAAGCCAAACAATACCAAGTAAATTACAATGTTGGTTAAATCTGACTAACATCAAATGATTCATTTGTGTACAAAACGTTTGCTAGAAATACCTAATTCATAGAATATTTTCACTCAGTTTCATAGATCATTCACTCTAAAACTTCTGTAATACAAAAACGTTTATAAATATAAGAATATCTGTGTGTAGCATTGATAGCGATTAATGGTTAGATACACTTGAGCATCTTTTTAACTAATAAAATTTGATATTTTAAACTGCTTCTTTTACTAGTGAATTAATCGTAGTATTTTTGACAACCTTAAATACCGAGAATATTATGATAGAGTATGAGATAAACTAGATACAGTACTGTGTTTAACTAATTTTGTTATTCATGTATCTAAATTACACTAGTGATCATTCTGTCAAACATTCCATTGATAAATATGCGTGCATAACAATTTTTAAAATTAAACTGAAACAACAGACCTATTGTCTAATAATCATGACAACAGTGATTTATTTTGACAAATATATGCTTCCAGAATAACTCCGCTCAGAAACCTAACTGATATTTTTCCAAATGAAATTGACATCAATAATATCATGTCAATAATAGTTTTGTGAATGAGGAGTCAGCATATTGAAAATAAAAGCCTTGACAGTCAATGATATCTTTGTTCGAGATACTATTTAGTGCCCTTTCAGTTCTTATTGGTTTTCATTATGAATTAAGGTCAATTGAAAAACGACTCAGAACAAGTAACCATGAGATAGGTATTCTGCATTAAGCTAAATAAATCATCAAGGGATAACTGGAAAAATAATAGAACCTTAAAACAATTAGTCCCTTTGATAAATTTCGATAATGATATTAGAAGACGAAGATTATCAGAACTATGTGATATATTAGCGCAATAGATTTCGAACAATCTGGTCACACATATACTTGTTAAGAACATTTATATATAAAAAATAAAACGTCAACTAGATAGGAAACGGGGTAAGAAGAGATAAGGATAATGAAACCTAATCACTCTGGATAATAAGTCAATATTACCAGGGTAGGTTTAAGGTGAAAGAACAAACTGTTTTTGAACACACAAAGGGGGTTTGAATTTTCGTATGGCTAAGGCTTCAATAAACCTTAGAAACTTGAAAATAAGTCAGCGATAGCGTTACATGCGTTAGAAACAGGACACAAGATTAATTTTGAAAGGACCAAAATACTTCAGAAAGGTTTTAACACCCATAAAGAAAGATTGACAGCAGAAGCTCTGCATATATGGGCGAACAAGAACAGCCTGAACCGAAAAGATGGTATTCAAATGGCAACTACCTGCCAAATTTCGTTTGACAAGTAAATTTGGAACCTATCTCTTGTTTAAACCTGTTTTTAATATCACATGCATCGTTATTATTATTATTGAAAGAACTGAATGAGTTTTTAAACAATACAATTTATTTGAAATTGTTTTACTTGAATTTTCCCATTGATGATTTTTGGACTGAAATTGATCAGTCTCTTTTTTGGCATATGTGCATACTGTGCGTATGCCTCGATATTGCCTAAATTTACAAGCATTATAAGCAAAGATGGATAGTGGCTAGCAGTGGAATCCAGGACGCGCCAAAAAAGAGACTGATCAATTTCAGTCCAAAAATCATCAATGGGAAAATTCAAGTAAAACAATATCAAGTGAATTCAATTTCAACCCATTGCACAAGCAAGTGGCTATCAGGACTCAGTAGCTAAGTGGATAACGCGATGGCGTTTGAAGCGAACGGTACTGAGTTCGAGTCCCAGAGTGAACATCAACTCTGAGATGCAGGTACATCCAGCCGACGAGTCCCAAACAGGACGAAACGCGCGTCCTGGATTCCACTGCTAGCCACTATCCATCTTTGCTTATAATGCTTGTAAATTTAGGCAATATCGAGGCATAAGCACAGTATGCACATATGCCAAAAAAGAGACTGATCAATTTCAGTCCAAAAATCATCAATGGGAAAATTCAAGTAAAACAATATCAAGTGAATTCAACTTCAACCCATTGCACAAGCAAGTGGCTATCAGGACTCAGTAGCTAAGTGGATAACGCGATGGCGTTTGAAGCGAACGGTACTGAGTTCGAGTCCCAGAGTGAACATCAACTCTGAGATGCAGGTACATCCAGCCGACGAGTCCCAAACAGGACGAAACGCGCGTCCTGGATTCCACTGCTAGCCACTATCCATCTTTGCTTATAATACAATTTATGTTTTGACATGCACATCGATCTTTCATTATCAAGTTTTTCATCCTTGAAATTGAACTTTATTTATTCCTTCATATCAATCTCTCACACATACATACATACCTGCACACTCACACACATACGATTTGTTACTCAGTTAAGTATTTCCATGTAGTTGAATTCATCACATGATTAGTAGTCAACTGACTCATTTTATCCTATTTTACAAAATCAACATCCAAATATGATTGGTTTAACACAGTATAATCCTGATTGTTAAAAAGCTATATATTTCTTTGAAGAAGTCCAGACAAGTTAGCTGGACGAAACGTTGGAATTAGTTAAATTTCAATCGCTGAGAATATTTCAAATATAATTTTCACATATAATGACTTCTCTATACTCGGCGCTCAATTACTGTCAAACTATTCGTTCTAATCTTGACGAATATTCGTATAACTTAGTATATGCCCTTTTACACTTTTATACAACACTACAAAAGCTGAATTTAGATCAATCTTGTGACCTGTTTCAATTATATGTTTAGCAATAGAGGATGATGGATGTTTATCCTCTGCTCTTATTGGCTCACTTGATTGTATTTGTTTCTGAAGCCATTTGGGTACATGTTCGCTCACCCTAATGTTGAGATCACGATTACTCCTCTCTGCGTATGTGTGACCACACACACATTTAAATTGGTAAACACAGTGGCATGTGACACAATTGTTTTCATGTCTTTTAAGTTTTGGATGAGCTTTGCTGCACAATAGGTTTTATTGATGACTGATTTAAGTCTTTGTTTCAATAAAAGGCTATTTGAATCACCTCTGAATGGTAAGGTGATGTAGACAGGCTTTTTCTCTACAGATGCTACAGTAGGTCTCGCTGTACCATGGACTTTCCATCTATTTATAAATTTCAAAGGATAGCCATTTTCTATTAATGTTTTATTTAGTAACAACATCATCAATGGCGTCATTGGTACAAATACGATCGAGCCTGTTGAAAAGACCACGTTTGTATTGCACAGGTCAATAACTATAATAACTAAGGTATTGACCTGTCCACGTTGGTTTTCTAAAAATAGATCGCTTTACTGAACCATCTTCTCGTCTACTCAGAAGTACATCTAGGAAGGGAAGCTGATCGTTTTTCTCCTCTTCACATGAGAGAGTAATATGGTTTTGGAGAGTGTTAAGTTTATTTAATAAACGGTACATAGTTCTGATAATCTTCGTCTTTTAATAGAACCTTAGCTAACAATCAATTTATTCAGTATTATCTTGGTTGACGATGACTGACTGACTGAAATTCTAAATGATTAGGTTTTGGAAATGAGCTTAAGATTAAAATCAATAAATACGTGAATTCACGTTTTAGTAATTATCTATGTACATAACCTTAGATCTAGTGTGATGATTAGGAGTATTTAAATTATTGTACGAATTAGGAATTCCAGAAATAACACAATTTAACCAAGAAGAATTATATGAGCACTGACGAACGTATTGTATTTGGAATTCGAAATCAAGCACTCGTCAAGTACAAAGGAATCATTAGTTCATACAAACACCGTATCTATACACCACATACAGCTATTGATTATGAAACCTACTTACACTGATTAAAATATAGAATGCACTTCTATTCATAGTTAGTTTGTGTTCCCTTACCTAAGTAATAACCTTGTTTTATATATGTTATGTGATTAGCCTACGGTAATTTCTAATTACGAATGATTCTGATTCTTCTTATACGGACGGAACTAATGCCAACTCTGCAGGTGGGAGGACTAATACACAAAACTTCAACAATAATCCAGGATTCTATGGAACACAGGAAAAATTTAGGAGTTCATGTAAAAACTGCTATTCAAAAGGAAGACACATAGAGTGTTGAACATATGTGTATATGCAACAACAAACATGATCTAAGGATACAGTAAAATTAGCAAACAAAGAGTAAAAACAACCACTCAAATAACAATAAAGGTTGTAAGAAAATATCCATTAGAACAACTGTTATGACGGTTATTGTCACTGGAAGGAACTAACGTTTATTTGCAAAAAGTTAGATAAACTTAGATCGCTCTAGCAGCAAAATTGTTCCAACTTAATGATAATCAGTCTCAAATTTGTTCACAGTTAATAATAGTAATCATTTGAATTAGAATGTTTGATGAAATAAGATTTTAACGATTAAGGTCAAAACAAGAGAACGTTTCCAAAATAATAATGAGGCGGAATTCAACCACTTATCCTAACCCATTCCATGTATATTGGTTATTTGTGGATAGTTTCTATTACGAGCTGATTTCATCTTGAAAATCATTGGGAGCTAGGCAGAATTGAAAAAAATGTTTTGTCTTAGTTCAGGGTTCCTCTGTAGTCCACACATGAATTCTGTTAGGGGACAGACCCAAAACATTTAGTTTTTGGACCAGGCACGTTAAATTTAAACCTCTAAATTTTTTATACATTATGGTCCAGCCGATTTCTGGTTTAAAACATTGACATTAGCGTTTAAGTATTCCACACTCGACATGGTTGAATTCCCCTACACACGACATTTCACTAGAACATCGGGATTCAATATCGAACCCAGTCACCACTGAGCATTTTACCATGGTTATCAAAGTGGGTCATTTCTTCAGACTGGTTCAGTTTAAATAGTTTTTGCCACATACTGTAATTAATGGAATAATTATATTCGTTATTTTCTTAGCCACTTATCACTGATGAAAATGAATGAGACAGATGTACACTAGTGTTAAAATATCATTTCCAAGCTCAAAATACTCTTTGTAATTTGCAATGCTCTTAAGTTACTTAACCACACAATGGATTGTTGCTAGGCTATTAACAGTTTATGCAATGAAAATAAGCTATATGCTTGAATATTTATTATCAGTTTCCAAACATTACTTCCAATTTTATAACCTAATTTCTTATCAGTGATCAATATGGTCCGCATTACAGGTTGGTAGTACTAAGAAACCATTTAGAATCAGGGGATATCAGGTATTTCTTTCATATTTTTGTACAACGTTTGGTTATAAGTATTCTCACGGATTTCCTAACATTGTCTTATCAACATCATGCTTTTTATTTCAGGGTTATGGATATAATAGCGGAGTTGTTTTAATGGACTTAGCTAAATTACGTTCAGCAGCACAGAACCATTTATGGATGAGTGCTATTAAATTTGTTATGAAGGCAACGCGTTATTTGTCAGCTGGGGAACAAGTAAGCGATTATCTTTTTTGTTAATCTTTCCGGAAATAAACAAACTAATTAATTTTCCCATGTGTTTATATTCTCCCCCATCGCATTTTGGAAAGTGACTAACATTTAAATTCAGAAGGCACATTTGTCTTGTTTGGGACCCATCAACTGAATGTTACTGCATTCAAACTTTGATGTTTGCTTTAAAGTTTGTTTGCTCTAGTCATCGTTTCGAATTGAGATAATAAAATGTTCTGAAATTACAAAATAAGTAAGATTAAAATAACAATAACTATACTAGGTTGGTAGATATTATTTGAAATTGCTAATTTATACTATCTACTATTCTACAATGACTGCTGAAAAGTTGTTTGGTATCATTTACTCTAAGTAATACTTGATAAGTGGAGGCAAGCTGCTTAGATTACTTTCCTGTTAATCAGTTGTCATCAACAAGATAAACTTCAGCATTTAGGAATTTATACTTTGTAAAGGGATTCAAACTAGATACATTCAGATCCACAACGAAGAGAATTAACAAGAGATGTTTATGTGTAGACTACCATCTGTAAGACTAGACTAAATACATTGGTGATATAAAAACTAACTCCAGACTCTGCAAGTAATCAAACTTACGTCTCATGTAAGTATTTCACAAAAATATTTCTGTTCATTAATCCAACCTATTGCTGCATAATTATGGTACAAAATTCTTCGCCATTTATCTACTAAATAAATCAAATTTTTCATTTGATGCAACCTGATCTTTTTTCAAACAGACTCAATGAATATTTATTAACTTATATAAATTACGATTTTTCAACGTAGATTAAATGAGTGAAGTATGGTATACAGTTTAATCCAACAGTGATAGATAAAATAACTTTGCTTAAAAAGATATAAGGAATCCACGTTGTACAAACACCCTTGGTATCTACATCATCGTATTCAATTTATCGTTCCTAAGAGATGCATCCTTTTCAACTTAGTTAATTATCTGAACAATTCTGGATATTATATATTGACATAGAATGCTTATTTATAACGTTTGTAAATAGTTATGCAGAATTTCTTAACAGCAGGTTGCGCAACACCTAATTGGCATAACAGTTATCAATGTAATATATGTCATATCATAACTGTGTATATTTTTATTTTATTCAAGGGTGTTATAAATTTAATCATGTTTAGAAACAATGAGACATTTTACAAAATACCATGTGAATGGAACATACAACTCAGTTCAGGTGTTGATGTACACAGATGTCCAGTTAGTTGGTTAGCTGAAAATTCTCTATTAAACAACAGGGATTTAATGTATGGGAAACAACCTAAAATTGTGTACTTAAACCATCAAGTAAAACCGGAATATCTGGACTTGGAAAATATATTAAATGTTGATACTAATGTATCACTTACGACTTATAATGGTAAGTATCATTAAAATTACTAATGAAGTGTCCTGGTAGGCATTGGATACTTTTGTCCAGAGTCTGACAGTAGTCTTTAAAGCATTAATCAAGTATAAAATTTGAATTCATCATATAGATGACATATTTTAAATCAAATACTTTGAACAAATACATCAGGTTTGAGACACCTGTTCGTTGATTTGTATCTTCTTTTGTCTTATGGTCAAAGACTTAATTAGATCTCCCATTATCTATGACTAGGTTTCGAAAGCTAATTGGCATTTAAAGGGAAAGTTTGATAGAAATGAAGTTAATTCTTTCTGAGAGATCTAATATCTGTCCAGAAGGACCATCGATACTTTCCAAAACTCCCTGATTGCTTTTGTATGATATTATGTTGTAGCCAAAATAATTTCCACGCCATAATCAGCTTGCTCCATCACAACCTATAGGCTAAATTAATCTGAAACAACCCATCACTATTTATGATAATGACAATCAAATCATATGATTTAATATTTCACAAGTATTCAGAATAGACACTTTATGGACACTTTATGTATTATGTAATCTTGTTTCAATCAAAATAGAATTTGTAATGAAAAGAAAAAAAAATTCATTTTATAAGAGATTTACTTATTACGTAAATGATATTCATGATCATATACAACGACATATTAAACAGCGATTATTTTTATTCAATAAATGCAGAGTAACCTGTACCTTATAGATGCTTAATTATAATGTGAATGAGTTGTAAATTCATCAGTTAATGCTTTGGAAATGGCTTGTATCAGTAGCCAAATTTAGTTGTCAGTATTGGGTTGTAGAGATTGTTAAATTCTTATTGTGATCACAAGACGATTCAGGTTAGATATTTAATGAAAACAAGGAAGCACTATCCGGCCGCTTCGTCCTAGTATGCGACTCTTCAACAGTGCACACCCACGAATCGAGTTCAGGATCACCAGTCTCGTGAAAAAAAATTAACCTGTAGACTACTGGAACGGGCACTAATGATTCAAAGGTTTAACTTCAACCAATCTGTGAATAAAAAACTCCCATGGCTCGAAGCTGAAAGACCGATGTAGAGGTCGTGGATAAGTACTGCTGAGGAGTCCCATACTGGGACGAAACAGCCATCAAATGCTTACAGGTTTCCAATAGTAGTCCAAATTTTATCGGTTAATGATTTAAACTAAATCCATTACTCACCAGAACTGAATATTAATAATATCATACCGTCACTTCAGTCTTATAAACAGAAATGAGCAGTTTTTAATTAAGGACACTTCGATTATAGGACAATACCTAAGCTTTACTCAGTATAATAAACGACTATTTTGTTTTCGGCCCACAGTCTACACATTACTACTGAATGTTTAAGACTACAAATGAAATCGCAGACAAGTTTAAACAGCGATTATATCATTAAACATCTACCAACCCATACGTGAAATTAGAAACAGATTATATCTGAAAATTTTGTTCCCCAATAGTGTATCATGGAAAAGAGGAACAAATGCTTTTGATTTTAGAAAAGACATCTTACTGTATTAATATCAGACAATATAGAATGTTTTTTTATTTCTCCATAAAACATTAAGAACGTTCATCATACAAATATGACCTTGGGAAACAAAAACTATCTTTGACCAAATTCGTTTTAAAACAGATTTAGGTTATTCACAACATTTTAATCGTTTAAAGGTCTCCGTCATATTACAACACTAGTATTTGAACGAAGAATATTCTTTTCGATAAATTCTATTCAGGTTCTACAATTGTATATCCAAATTAATAATCCGAAAAAATGGCCAGGTTAAGGGCAAAATACATCGTTTAAAGCATGTGAATTGTGGAGTATGTTTTTTAAAAATACAATAGAATTGTTAATTTTTTGATTGAGATCATGAACCCATTGATGTTAGACCACCATCGAAAAACTGAAAACGGCCATCTAATGCTTCCAGGTTTTCAATGGTGGTCTAAAATCAATCGGTTCATGATCTGAATAAAAAACTTAACAATCTCCACAACCCCTAAACTGAAATTTGTTAATGTTGATATGACTCATATAGAATGTTAACTTGAATCTGCGTATATGTTCAGTGAAATTTTAAAATCCATGATCAGAATATATATGGGTCAAATAGGGTGAGAGAGAAATTACAATTCGATAAATTAAGTAATACGTAATACGGAGGGATGAATGCGAAGTGAATGGATCGTGTATAGGGGAGATTAATAATAACGTTTAACCAATAATACGAATAATAATAATAATAATAATAATAATAATAACAATAATAATAATAATAGAAAGACTTATGAATAAAGATAACAGAGACAGTTACAACTGACTACGAAAGGTCATAGTCAAGTTAGACCATTCAATAGTTAAGATTACGATTGATTAATAAGTCTTGATGTTGGCCAAGGGAGGAGGAGTGGTTGAATATATTTTTCTTCTCTGCGCATAGCTCCGGTTTCTTCATCCGGATGGCTACTCCTTCAGCCGTTTGACGAGTCTGACCAGTTTTGGCAAAAAATTACTGACCTTATAAAAAATATTGAAAAAGATTGGTTTATACATGTACTATAACCGGTTTGTACAAAATGGGCCAATATTGAGCTGTTCACTTTCTTCATCAAACCTTTGTTTAGCCACGCTGGAAGGTGTTCACGAGCACGAAAATGTAAATTCCTAGAACTTCGACCAATATAACTCGCTCCACAGGAGCAGTCGAACTGATAAATACAAAATGAGGTAGTCATTCGAGGTAATTCATCTTTTAGCCTCAGTGTAACCATTGGGAGCGTAGAAAACACTAATCGCAGTTCTCTGGCGTCAAAAGATTTTTGTATTGTCCTACGTAATCTCTGAGTTAATATTTCACTAGCCGCATCCACTCTGAATTGTAGACACATGAACAGGGATTTCTTCTTCACCGTTTGTATTTCGCCTATTTTCGCCTTCGTGATCCCTGAGAGTATTATGCAAGCGCTTCAAATATATCAGCAGAACATATAGTGCATATACGTAACTAATGGTTTTGATCAAGTTTCGTTTGTACTGTAGAGGTACAAAGCTCAGGATATGCGTATACTGCCCAGTCTATGTACTTTTTCTGTTTGAGTTCATTTTTAACGATCTATCCGCTCTCTTAGTCAAGAGAACGTCCTAAAAGGCTATTCGGCCATCACATAATAAACAAGTTTTCTTCAATCCATCAACTTAGTAATTAATTTCAGTCGGATTTTTAAATCTGCAAATATATTGCCTACTCCACTGGTGGAAAATTTCACCTTCAATGCATACATTTGATTTGACTTATTTGTTTTTTTTTCGTAGCTAACTTACTCTACATGGTGTATCTTAAAGAATATTTTAAATATCGACATACCAGTCAAAAATGTTTCTATTAAACCCGGAAAAATGCACTACATTTACTGGAAAGCATTTTCTGTTGTTACAGTTATATTTGTATACCCTTTATATGAAGCTGATATGTACACATATATCCAAGTTGAAAAAAATTTCATTATTAAATAAATGAATCATTGTAAATCCAAGTTTATGGTTGATAGTTTTCAATCTCAGTTTACTTAAACCAATTGTTCTTCAAAATTCCTTTTATCCTCTAGGTACTCTTTTGGCAGCATCAAATTACATCTTAACTTTTGACATTCTCACCGTCAGCCAATATATAATATAGTGAAACCAAAGATTCCAGGCTAAATATCTTAATGAGTTCTTTATTCGCAGTTCTAAGAAGTCCCAGAACAAAATTTTCGTAGTTTAATAACGCCTGAATAGTTCAGTTAGAAAGGGAAGTCTATCAAAGTGCGTTATACATTTATGCAGTGATATGTATCATGAAACTAATTACTGTTCGGACAATAGCAAAAACATAGTGAAAACTTTAATTCTGATTATAATCTAAAACCTACAGAAATTATATAACTATGGAAGCATAAAGATATGTAAATCTATTGAAATGAATAAAGTGATGTTATCAAATGATTAAATTGAATCTTAGAAGAAATAACATATGTACCAACTAATATATGAAAACATTTGTAACTAAGATAATAATATCGACAACAAAACTAACTCGTGAAGTCAATGATAATGTCTCTTTGACCATAAGTGCCTCGGAATTCAGTTTGTTTTTCTACAACCAGAACAGAACACTCACAAATAGGTGGACTTACGGAGCAATAAAACAACTAGAATCTGTTTTGTGGTTTTCGATAATGATTAATAGGTCTCAAAGTCCAGCCGAATCTAATCGCCGATGTCTCATAATGACTTTTAGGAAGTTATTAAACCTTCACAAATCGTTTAGCAAACCGCCTCGTCAAGCTACACAATCGCATTAGTTAAACAATCGGCTAAAATGACTGTCTTTATGGTAGAGATAAACAGTCACATTGGAAGCACTGATAGAAGATTGTATAAAAAACTGGGAGATAATTGGATAAAGACACGTTACATTTTGATAACAATGACGTAATCACTAAATAGTCTAAAATTTATATTAAAAAATGTGTTTGCAACAAAGTTATAGGCTTCTTCGTTTTCGGTCTCATTTCGCCACAAATCAAACTTGGTACGAACATAGGCATATATATATATATATATGCCTATTACCCATCGTAGAGTATGACTTGTCAAATGGAGATCTCCGACCAACTCTGTTATGGGTTCTCGTTTTTAATAGTGTCCGGAGTGCAGTTAATCTATAGGGGGTGTCCTATCAACCAACCCCCAGCTTCTTTTCCTAATTTTCTCTCTGGTTGGAAGTTGGTTTGTTCTATCTCATTGTAGGTTGTTACTGATGGTATTCGGCCACCGGTGGGTTCAATGGAGCTGGTCTATTCAACAGCTCTTCGGAGTGATCTGCTCACCTTTTCCGCTGTTCTTGAATCCTAGTGATCGTCTTGAGTGGTCGCTCTGATTTATTATATTTCCCTTCAAGTTTCTTTGTTGTGTCATATAGTTTTTTAATATGTCCTTCCCTTGCAGCTTATTCCGCTATCATTGATAGCTTTTCTACGTATTTCCGCTTGGAGGCTCTAATGCTCCACTTCACTCTCTTGTTTGCTTCGGTATATTCAGCCCGTGCCTTGACTTTCTCTATTATTGTTTGGCTGTTGTTAATTGCTGTCCTCTTGTTCTTCCTTTCTTGAATCCTGCCCTAGGTTCCTAAAGAGACCCACCATTCCTGACACACTGAAGTTAGTATCTCTTTGATCCCTTTCCGGTTGTTCTCCATAGTAGTTTCCTCTTCTTTAATTAGATCTTGTAAGATTTGAAACGTGTTGCTGGAAGCTACCTTAAATTCATTGAGTCTTTCAGTATCTCTATTGAAAGTAGTATTAAACCTATGTAATGCTGTTTCTGCAGTTGTCCAGTGCTTCTTTAGCTTCAGTTTCATCTTAACAACCAGCAGGCGGTGATCTGAAGCTATCACAGTTCCTTTCTTTGTTCGCATGTTTTCCATGGATCTGAATTTTTATTGATCCAGACATGATCGATCTGATTCTCTGTAATGTGATCCGGTGAGAGCCAGGTAGCTTTGTGCATGCGTTTGTGGGAGAATATAGTGTCATTTATAACCATCTTGTTGAAGACACATAGATTTGTAAATCTCTCACCATTTTCGTTTCTTTTTCCCAGTCCATGTCGTCTTATGATGTGTTCATACATGGAGTATGTCATCTCGACTTTGGCATTAGGTCTCCCATCAGGATGGTCAGGTCCCTTCCTAGGTATTTCACCGCGATGAACTTCAGCCTCTCATAAAACATTTTTTATGGTCTCCACTACTATCATTAGTAGGTGGATGGCACTGTATAACATCTATTGTAATTCTTCCCTTCTTTGTGTCTGAAGGATACTCTGATGATTGTTTATCCACGAAATTCTCATACTATGCCTTTTGGCGCTTCCTTAGAGAGCATCGGTGCAACTTTTCGTGTAAGTGAGGTATCTTGTTGTTGACCAGAATACAACAGCACCCCTCCTGAAACTGATCTTTTTTCTTCACTCAGTCCAAGCACCTCCACGAGATATCTTTTTATTCAGGTATTTGAACTGTCCTCTCAGTGCTCCACATTGTTAGGACATTCCATGTACCTATATTAATTTTTGCTCTGGTTATCAGAATGGGCATCGGTATTATGACTTTCGAAGAATATAACGTCTGGTTAATTATTTCGAACTACATTAGAAGTTCGGTATTTAATTAAAAATTATAATCATAAATATATAAAATATAGAATACTGTAGAAATAAAAGCCTTCAAGCTTGTTTGAATATTTCTGTTTTTGAATTATAGTAAAAACTAAGGTCATTTATTAGTGATAAGAACAGCAGCCATGGAATTCAAATCATTTAACATAACAGTCATTCTGATTCTACACACTGTGAATTTTTCAAAACTTTGATTGATTGCCATAACATTGAACATATAATTGCACCCCAGAATAGATTCAGCATGTCAAGTATGATACCCAAAATAAAATAAATTTTGAAGGCATCAATAAGAAATATCCGTTGTGCTTCACTGGTATGATGATGTATATTGTAGGATACCAAATACCAAAATGGAACAGCACAAATATTTCTTGTTAGAATAAATGTGACGGCAAATAAAGAGGTTGCTATGGCAACGTATTTGTGATGTGAAGAATATCCACATGTACGCAGAAACCACCTGTTGAGGGAGCAGGAAGACAGAAAGTTCATCAATAGACATATTTTTGTTATCCTTTAAATTAGGTTACTAAAACATACTAGAGAATGCTCTATATCTGTATTTCACATAATCTTAGGATTAGAAATAAAAAAGGTGAATGCAAACGTAGAAAATACAAGAGTTGGTTACCGAAATTTCTAAACTAGAAAATGGGTTATCTTTGTCGTCATATAATAATAAACTAATCACAATGCCATTTAGCTATACAATTTATAGACAAGATTGAAAACTCTTTTACAAAACCAACCTAGTTTAAGTTTTTTCATTTCAATACTGTTATAAGTGTTTATGATGAGACTTGTCATTTAATTGTAAATGAATATGACGTAATCCTGACTGACTAGCGGTGATAAAATCTGGATTTACCTAACTAGCGTCATAAACATTCTGATTTGTATTGATATAAAAGTACAAAAATTGTTTCCATTCTTAATCAATGGGAACTATAAGACAACTAAAATGTTAATAGCTGCTAACAGTTTCTTCCAAATAAACAATATTCAGCCACTTTCAACATCCTGACTGAAAGGATTGAATTACGTTTTGTTGAAATTTTGGGAACTTTTGTTTTACGACATAGTTACGAGTGAATGAATTATCCATACAAATTTACTTTTTTTTTAATCTATAGCAGACCTTGAAGTAGGTGTTGGTAGCCTTTATGATGCTAGATATCTGGGTCTTGTCGTTCCATCATAAAGCTATTTATCTGAATCAGTAGTCTAAATAAACATACACTCCTCGTGAGTCGTAAGATTATCCATTTAAACCATAAGGAAATTAAAATACCTGATCTAACAGACATTTATCATTCAAACACCTTTAATTCACTAAAATAGATTCAAGAGAAAAACTACTATAAAGAAGGACTTCAGACATTTTATTTTCAAGGTGAAAACTGAAAAGTCATATGATATTAATGTTAATATGTGCTTGTATTTGAGTTAATCAAGTGTCTTTGTATTGTCCAAATAAATTCGGATATTTCGAAACGGTTTTTACGGAGCCCTTCAAAGTTATTTATTTACAAATACTACCACATAATGCTCTTCATTCTAAAACAATTTTGATAAATGAGAGAAAAACATAAATAGATGCCCTATTACTTGGATACCAATAGTAGCTTCCTCTGAAGTGAAGGTTTTTCTACGATTGGAATAGTAGTATCATTTATCTGTCTATTTTCGTCTAATGTTACGTAAAATATACCAATCCTCGACAATAGGTACACTACTATCTCTAGCTAAATGATAGTAAATGTTTTTAGATTACTTAAAAGTAGTTAATAATTTTTGAAAAAATTAAATACCTAATGACGATATGCGGTTGGTATTCTCGATACAAAATTACGAAATGGAAATAGTCTAGAACTTTCTACAGGCTTTTACAAAAGTGACTTTGGTGTTGGTTGGATTATTCGGATGTATGCATTATGACTGTTAGAAACTTCGTTGTCACAAGAAATACAAAAACGCTGATTTCTTCTGTTCCAACCTCCAATCTTTTACCAAAATGACATCTTTTATAAAATCAACTGTTCTAAGCCTTAAAGAAACGAATTTATATGCGTTACAGTACTTGTTCCTATCCTGTGTAGTTAGTTCCTCGTTATTTTTACACACTGGGAAAATCATGTTACATTGTTTATGATATCACTGAGTCTGTGATTTATAATTAACTGAGCTCACCTTTTTGATATTTATGTCGACAACCAATGTTATTTTTATTATCAAATCTGAACACAATTAGATTCCCTGTCATATTCTATTAATCAGTTCGTAAAAACACTATATAACGACATTTTTAGTTGTTAGTCGACACTAGTCGGAGAACCTATAAAAATCAGTTCCCTCCTATTTAAAAAACATTAAAACTATCTTGTTTGCCTGTTAATTATAGTATTACCATAAAATACCCAGTGATTCAGGATTCATGTTGCCGAGAAGTCTTAAACTATAACGAAACACTGTATAGTTACCTAATTGATATCATTATGTAATTAACAGTCTATCTGCCTATCGAATTATTCTTTCTAAGCAAATCAACTAAATGTTGTGTTTTCGTAAACAACACTGAGACAATATTTACTTCATTATGAATTACCTTCTATGGTGAGAGGCTACCTCTATAATCATGTTACTCAGCAGAACGTTTCTTTTCTTTCCACAATTTGAAATTTAGTCAGTAAGTAATTGACCATTTATTTGTCCATGTTTTCTTCTTTCTTTCTTACAACATTCATTATCCATGCTTCTATACTTGTCTGTGACTGAAAACTAAGACTTAATTTGTGTGACGAAAGAAGCAAAAAACACATTTCAGCATCTTTTAAGTTTGTTAACTAGGCATATAAATAAACTTCGTTGTCTAATAGTGGTTTCATTGAGTATATTCTCGTTATTAAAAATATGATCGCTAAGAATACTTACCTGAGATTAATGAAGGGAGTAGAAAGTTCTGTCAAATACTTCAAATATGCATAGTATTTTCCAATTTCATTAGACTAAAATAAACAAATGAGTGTTTAAATTAATACTTCAGAGTTTAGAGATCAACATACATTACAGTCATAAAGGCAACAATATGTAACTTACAAGCACGTTGATGTATTGTCAATACAATATTTGGTCTGTCGCTATCATATGTCACTAAACTTTTCACTTTGGGCAAAACGTAACAAATGTTTGCAACTTATCATATTCCTTATTTGTCGAGACTATAATTTATGGACGAACCAATCACGTATACGATAACAGGTCTCGGATTTCGGCGCGAAATTCACTGATTCATTTGGATAAATAGAGTTTTGCTATTATAGCTTGTTATAACTTTTGACCGCCGATTAGAGGGCACTGACTTATCGATCGGATCAAGGACACGTAACACACGTGCGAGCAGCCTAGAGTCCTGCTTTCCGCCTAGCCCAGCCAGTTAAGTCCAGAACACTAATCTCAGCCTCTGCAATATGAATCCTTATATTTCAAACATACTGAGTTTATATACCAATCAAACAGACCACAACGTACCAATAAAATATGAAAAAAACATTTGTATAAGAATTAGGCAGATGTAGCTATGAATGAGTGAGGTAGTAATTAATATACTGGGTATAACTCAAGAATGGCAAAACGTATAATAATAGTTTATGGGTCAAAATAAAGCTTATATTAAGAGGAATATGTATATGTATAGTTTCGTTACTTACTAATTATACAATAGAAATATACGATCCCAAAAGTTACCATTCATTATTCTTGTCGGGACATAACAAGTTGATGTCAGTTCATGATGAAAACTGTAAATTATAATTATAATTCCTCATACAGTTTCATAACCCTCATTTGGTCCTAGTTATTAAGTGGACACTCTCAAGGTCAGTCTAGCGTCGCTCAATAGTCGGCCATAAATCATATTCTCACCCCTTATTTTAATTAAACGATAATAAAGCCAAATGCGAAAATATCTAATTTTCATAAATTTCCAAATGTATTTAGTGACAATTATTTGGCCATTATCTAAAGTCCCTGACCAACTCGTTCTGTAAAGCTGTTATGGCTTTCTTTATCTGTTTTTGACTTGCTTTATTGCTTATTTTCTTTCTAAAAACAATCTACAATTCTATCAAGTGTTTGACAAACAACTGAATTACTAGTCCGACGATAAGTTAAACCAAACTTATTTTAAATGAAATCAACTGATTTACGGGAAATGCACCAAAGTCAGTACACGCTACATCTGTCATCTCCGATCTAAGTTAAAAACAAAAATAAATCGTAAACAGGCTTGATAAAACTGACCAATTATATAAATAATTAGTCAATTATATATATGTAATGGCATTGAAACTAAATTTCCCTAGAGTGTATCTAAAACCAAGAAGTTGTTCTGTCATGCCCTCCCCAGTAATGAATATTATTATAAAGTATTTCTAACCTATTTTGGATAATGTTGATATGTCTCGACAGTGTATAAACTGAATTAAATTCATTTGTGTCAATGATTTAAACTCTTGATCTTTGTGGAATTCTGACTCATCATGTTAATAAATTAATAGGACGATGAGAATTTATATCCTCAAGTTTCGATTCATTTTGTTCCTAGCTTTCCTTCCTAACAGAATTTCAATCCAGTTATGTCTTTTACTTATTTTTGTATTTAAATCGAACTCACTAATTCTTAACACTTACATATTTATTTATTGGAGAATGAAATATCCGCAATGCACTTGACTGTGAATAGAATGATCATCTGCACTAGGATCTGCACTCAAAATCATCTTATACAGAACAAAAAGAACCTGTATTGCAAATAAATAAACCAGTGTATACCTAATCAGTATATGTTTACATAAAATTCATAAGAATTTAGACCAAGCTTTTCCAGATGACTTGGCTTCAATAAGTCAACGACAACGATTTAAGACATGTATTGTAAAACCAATGAACTAGATTTTGATTAACATCTCAACACACACTAGTCCTTTTAAGGGGAATCAGACTAAGATGTGGTCATTTCCTTACTTTTACCTACAAACTGGTACTACTCTTTGATTAAAATAGGTAGTGAAAAACTGTTCAGGTAAGGGGGAAGCAACTAATTTTAAGTAGGTCGCCATTAAACCAGACATCAGTTTAGCCTGACTTTTATCCTTTTATATGTACGATCTCTAGCAACCAAAGATAATAAAGGTGCATTTCATTGATCAGTATAAAAATTTTCTGACTCTCGGTTCATCCACAATAATCAGATGTTAATCACGAAGAAGTATTGAGGTCATACATTATTAAGACTTATATAGCAATATCCAGCAGTCATTTCAATGGAACTCAAAAAGTACTTTTGACGAATTTCTAGTTAACGTTAAAGATCTCTCTTACTTTAACAGACAGGTTTTCCGTATGTTGTAAAAAAGAAAACAATTTAATCTACTCTACACTATTACACGAATAAGAAATGACAGGATTTAGAAAATGGGCATTCAGAACCATTTTCCAGAGTCGCTTAAATACAAATTACAATACTGACCGGAATTGTTTTCGTTCAGTTTCTCATGTAAAACTTCACCTGTGAAATCTTTTTTATATAAAGTATGAAATTGTCTAGTTGGTGATTACAGCCGAAAGTCCATTAAAATGGCTTTACATTTCAGTTTTTATTTGCATACAACATAGTAACTAAGTAAAACTATATACTACGATACTTGTTGAAATTGTATAGGATAACTAAATCCACTTAATGTCTTCCAGATCAAACATACAAAAAACACCAGGGTTCACTTCAGTTGAGTGAAGCTAATGAACATATTCCCTTCCTTTACGTACTTCTTCACCAGTATCAGTGGTAATAAAGAACTAGCTTTAAATATTCTTGGGAAAATATGATCAACAATAAATCTGTTTTCTGGATACAGCATATTAAATATAAGTACTGTTTTACAATACTAGCACATTTTTGAATACCGTTTGAACGGATTATGCTACTTCAATAAATGCCAAGTACGATCAAGCGTGAAGTATAAATCTGACTTCTTATTTCCTATTATGTTTTGACACCTACGACTTTATAAAAGGATGAATTAGTAAAGAGAAATAATAAAAATTCCTAATTCTTGGTCTTAAGGATAGAAAACAATATTATTCATGTTAAGATTCGAACAGTGTTTTCACAATATAATTAAATAAACTCATGAACAATAGGAATCATGTTTAACTGAATTCTACAATCAAAATATTTGTGATCCAGTTTTTTTCATTATAATGATTGAAATAAATCTTAAATTAATCGACTTATAAAAATGCGACTCACTAAAAATGCTGAACTTCCCCAGATAACAATCGAATGATGGATTATGTAAGTCCATAATGAAGCACCTTTTAAGTACATGATCATTGTCAGTGAATCTGTATTTTACCAAGTTTCAAGCACGAAAGTAAACAGAAAGAAGTATGATAAAATAAATGTTGTACGTAAAATACACAAGTACCAATTCGGTTTGAATGAACACATCTTTCTCTTGAGGATCTAACTGGGTAGTATAGGAAACCGACTTTTCATTCAGTGCATTATGTATGAAGATGGGTTTTATCTATTTCAGGTCATGTAGATTTCATACATCATACAATCAAGCAAAGTCATACAATAATATGTAAACTTCTATGTGAATAATCATTTCAACTATCATTAATTTACTGCTTCGATATATATATATATATATATATATATATATATATATATATATATATATATATATATCAGCCTGAATAATGCTCACTAGATATATTTAAATTTATGAAGTACTTATGCTGAATACGTACATGTTGTATAATTCTTATCTTCGGTATTCAGTTACCATACAGCCTGCTTTCAAATCATCTGGCTGGTTGTTTACTTACATTAGAACAAGGTTTCGGATAACTGTAAAGTTTTTCAGCTCAAAACCTTTTCTGAAATGTATTTACTTTAGGGCTAAAAGAATTGCGTTTGAATGGGTGTCTTGGAAAGGCTTTACGCCTGTCCTTCAAATCAAATGTTGTATTCCAGTATTCTTACTTATATTTAAGTGTTTTGGGACGAAGGGTACCTCAGTTACTTTGTTACCAATTAAGGTCCTACATATCACCATATCACTTTTGTTGGAAGCCACAATTTAAACTGTTAGGTTTCCACTTTTAACTTTTTAAAACAGTAATTCAGAAGACAAATGTTAGTCAATAGTGGTAACTTATACGGTCTTTTCTCTCAGAAGTATATATTGACTATAAAGGCGATAGTTTTGTTGTGTCCCGTAAATTAAATTTCACTGTAACCTTGATTTTTGTAAACGCCGCACAACTACATTTGGGATCGAACATTATTGTTCATAGGTGGTTGACAAAAAAAACAGAAGGAAATTGTATTTACCTAAGAATCGTTACTTACCATAAATCATATAACCGCATGATATGCACATTCCAACGTTGCTTAAGAAATCTGAGTAACTAAATTAGTCATTTCGTATTGATTTTTTGACGTTATTGTTTACACCATAATTTAGGGATATTTTGTCGAAGGATTAAAATAATGTGTGAAAAATTGAATGAGTGAAAAAAATACGTAAAGCTAAATGAGTACTGAAAACAAGTGATAAAACAAAAGTGAGATAAACAAATTCATTTGAATTATTACATAAAACATGTTAAAGTTGCTTCGCATCTATATCATTCCCTGCTTTTGAGTAATCTCTTTAATGAATGCCCCGTTGGCAATCCTATTCGACAAAACAGTGTGCAATAACGGTGAGCTCGAAGCGAGAACAAATATACTCTCAGAATTTGTTTATCCGGATAAAAAAGCTAGCAAGCAGATTCTGAAACAATTATTTAATAATAAATATACTTTTTATTATATCCTAATAAGTAGAAAAATGGTTTTTCTGATGTTTCGTGACTTGATGTAAACCACTTCTTCAAATAGTACTGTTTAAATTTGTTTAAATTTATTTTGGTTACTTATGTACTCTGAAGAAGTGGTTTACATTAAGTCACGAAACATCAGAAATACAACTTTTGTAATCCTTAAGATATAAAGAAAGCATATATTTGTTATTAACTTCCTATCCAATGCTCACTTAATTTGAAACCATCATGGTCAACCTTGGCGTTAATACCTATAATTATTAAATAGTAAGTTACTCTCTATAGTAACTAAGTCCTTCTATATAGGATGCAGAGTGGGGATTTATGCGAAAATTTAGACTGTAATGAAACGAAATTTGTGTATATGTCGCCTAGTAATTTATGATAACTGATGCACATACTGTGTTGATGAATATAATGTACAAACTCACACAAGTACTAAAGTGCTCTTATCTCCTTTTATATTTCTCCTCCAGTCCTATTAATTATATCCTATTCTATAAAATATGTATATACATGTCATGAGTATTACGTTACTAATAAATTAAATGCATGATCAACTATCTAATTACAAATCCATTAAATCAATTAATTTATGAATTAAATTACATTAACAACATGCATTTTAAATAAACAAAAAAAACATGATAATAATGCTAATCATGCTGAATTACCTTAATTCATGATCGGAAAAACGTGAATTTAGCAGTACTTAATTAATCACTAAACAGAAAACTAAGCTAAGTATTCAAATATTTTAATGATAATTTGTATGTATTTATTTTAATATATATGAACTGTATATAGGCCTACAAAGTGAATTAACTATTTGTACAGGATCAACAATATATCAATTTGTCAATGACATTTGTTTCCAAATTGTACAAGCTTTTAAATGAACATAATTCAAGTGAAATTCCTTGTTTAATGCACTAAAACGAATCCGTCAGTCTTAAAGTAAACTGAATTACATGTAAGGGGTAAGGTGTTTGATTAGATTTATCGGAATCCTCTATGAATCGATCAAAGATATGTGGTTCACTGAGAGACAAAATACGTTTTCACATCAAACTCACACTAATTCTTTTTTATTAATTTTCATTCTAGATCTTTATATTTTCTAAATCTTTATTCTCGTTCATAATATTAACTTTGTGTAATTAAAGCAAGGTGTATTGAAAGGTGTGTGACATGCATATCAGTTTGAATGCCTTCCAGTACAATAATAAGGAATAAATGACTAAAACCAAATTATGCGTAACTTGAAGCTTTCATAACTCCAAAGATCTAACTATGGAATTCAGTATGTGAGCTTGAAATTAAATTGTTCATCACTGAATCGGTAACAGTGTGATTTATGTTATCCCTAATACCTAAGATAGACAACTCTAACAAGTAGATTATAATTAAACCATTTGATAATTATTTTCATAATTAAATTTAACAAAATCTAAAAATTTGTTTAGAAAAGTGGCCTTAAACGTTGTGAGCTTTAAATAGATTGATTTATTTGTTAGTGAACTTAAGCTCAAAATCGTTTATTATCAGAGTAATCAATGCAATTAAACGATATCACCAACTATGATTTTATTATCTAGTTTAAGAACCATAAGGTGTCAAGGGTTTTGTATATATTATGATGTGTCCAATCTTTAACAAAACAGATTAATACAGAAGTATTATTCTACAAGCTGCAATAAGAACCTGTTTTATTACTCGAATTAACTCAGTTTCACTTCTTCCCTACGATATCATAGACACGAATATATGCTCAGTATTTATTATAGCTTATTGTAGAGATTTTTGTATTTTATAGCTTACATCACGAGCTGATCTTAGGTTTATGAATGCACACTAGTGAAAAGTCCTATACTAGAGCGAAAACTCTGTTCAGTACAGGGTGTTAACTGTGAATTGACATGCTTCCCAGTTATCCTGGGTTTCGTAACATTATTAAAAGTTATTGCTACAACGTGTAAAACGAATGAATATTTCATCTAAATAAACTAACACAATTCACCAAATATCTTGTCTATCTTACATTAATTTTATTATAGATACTGAAACATTAAAAAGAGAAATTTTACCGGTCATCTTGTAAAATAAATAGATAGAATTTTAGCACTGATAGAAACAAGACCATATAGATCAGTGTTTTGAAATCGCCTCCCTATATAGTTTATAATGTGCTCGAACTTCATCATTCTCTAGGATTATAAAACACCAATATACATTGTACTAGGTGAAATTACTTATGAAAAATGCTTCCTACCCAATCATTATTATTTCATAGTAGTTCAGGAAGTAAACGTTTATTTTATTGATAACATACTCCTAATGTTGACCGTCAAATTCAAAAACTCATTACCTGTTCTTCAGCATACATATAGATCTATATATACACCTGAGATTATCACTGCTAAACGGTGATAGCAAATTGTGAATATCAGATTTATAAAAGTAAATTTACACATAAAACAAACTTTAGGAATTAATTTGTATTACAAGAATTTATCTTCATGCATTTTCTTGTTAAATAGTAAACAGTAGAAACTGATCAGTAAAATGAAGATGGAATGCACTGTTGATAGCCATCTAATTTGATTGAAAAAAAATCAACACCAAAAGAATTTAATATCAGAAGGGGTTTTTGTGGATATTATAGTAATTTTAATGGTTGAGATCATGAGTTAATTGAAGCTAAACCACAATAGGACGAAACGGCCTTCCAGTGCTTTTAGGTTTTCCATGGTGGTCTAGCATCAATTGACTCATGATCTCAACTATTAGAATAACCAAAAGGATTGTTAATAAAAGTTTATTAAACAATAATAAAATGGTTAATTGATTTTTGTAGTATAAAAAAGCTGGTATGAAGCTTAGTAGTTGACTTTTATCCTTCACAAACATCCTTATAATATTAAATAACAAGACATGGTAGTAATTATATCATAATGGGATTAAATCTATTTAAAATATCAATTAACATTGAGATGAAAATGACCTGAAATAAGATCTGCGCATCACCATTTCCTCACATTAATTGAAAGCAAAATTTGTTATTGTATAGTACCAATTTCACTTTATATCCACATTGGTTTGATAGTTCCTTTAAGCTTTCAGGTATGTCATCTTCATAAATGGGAACAACGGGTCACAGCTCTTATCTTTATTAGGTAATACTGACTGGTATTAATTTCTATTATCTATTCAGTTTTTAAATGCATGCCACACAATCATTGAAACACTTTACAGAATGATTGTGATAATGCCAACTACCAGAACGAATAAAATGATGTTTTACTACATTTATTCTTCTTCTTCTTCTTCAGTTATTGGTATTTTTACGGATTGCTTTATTATTTTTATAGTATATGTTTTTACGATTAAGCACATCTAAGGAAAATTGATTTTTTGTCATAATTTCAGTACACTATAAAAGCTTTATTAGAGTTCGGAATTAGTCTTGAATTTAGTGTAACTAAATTATGTGTTCATCAAATACGAAATTAGAATGGATTTAGGACTAAATTTAGGCGGTCACCTCAAACTAATTACTCTGACAACAAAATTATGAAGAATTTTAAAAACTTATTATTTACTTAGTAAATTCAAATGTCAGTTTGAATGGAATTGACTTCAAACTTTATAATATTGAGTTGCTTAACTGAAATATGGAATTCATCCCAACTTGAAATAAATGATAAGACATTGTGAGATATATTAATTTTGAAGAGAATTAAAAGGTACAAAGACAAGTTAGTCTAAAGTGGGTTGAAACGAAGTCACAATTTATTTGATTCAGCACTCTAATGAAACTACAAAAGTAGACATTTTTTTAGATACTATCTCAAAGTTTAATAAAAACTCAAGTGACGAATTCTACTATCTGTCGAATATTGTTTCAGGGTTGATGTCGATGATATTGGTTTTGTCAGATGAAATGAACACTAAGTGAAGTAGACTTGAGTGTAGATAGGGGAAAAAGTTATTTAGTAATGGACCGATAGAACATAGGCCAAATAAAACCGGACAATAATTATTTAAATCAGCCTATGAGTCAGATTTTCTTCAAAAATCCGTCATCCTTTTCAGGTCACTTACATTTTTCCGCTTTTTCCATGTAAAATAAATAGGTTACTTGATTACAGGAATTATGTTTTCTGGATCTACTAAATCAAAATGACCTGCTTTGTATTATGTATGAGCTTTACATGAAAATCGCTTGATATTACTTGTCTCCATATCTTGATGGGATTTAGTGATAAATACAATCAGAATCCAAGAGGCGCATTTTATTTCAATTATGGAGATCATCATTATTACTAAGCAGTTCTACTTGTGTTGCTTCAGACTTTGAGGCGGCCGGTAACAGGCTATTAAATACCTCCATTTTTGTTTTTCTTCATTTTTCTATCTCTTTTCCACCATTTGCATATTCAAGCTTATCATTCCCATACTTCATGTAACGCACTTTTTAGTGATTATTATTTTGACAAATTTATTTTCTGATGTGGTGATCTTCTTAAGTTGGAATATTTTCTTACTATTACTTTTGTTTTCCATATTCATATTATTTTAAATACAATTGTTATCACTGAATAGAAGTACTTGAAGCCTGAGATGAAATTTCAGTTTGCGCCTCAAGCTGTATCATGGATAAACTAATAGTAAGTTGTTTTATCAGTTGTTTTCATAAAGGTTAATATTAAATGGGAAATAAAAAAACAATAAGACTTTGTAGGAACTTTTCCCTAGGGTTGCTATATCTATCTCCTTAAATCTTAGAAGTACACGACAGTTAAACGACTGAATTTAACCTAGTTCCAATCTATCTTTTATATTGACTTGGACAACTTGATATGGTATTTGCGCAAACGTTGTGCTGCTTGCTTTCGGCAAACTGACAATGTAGAGGGTTTGTGGAGGATGTTAATTTATTTTATTTAACATTAGGTACTGATATCGCGCTGAGACCTAAGGTCCTAGGTTCACTCCTCCGAGAAGCCGTGAATGAGCACCGCTGGGGAGTCCCATACTAAGCTGAAACAACTGTCTAGCACTTCATAGTTATCAGTAGTCATTAAAATAAGATCAGCAAAAGATGTTAACTACGAAAATCTAAAGTATTTGATTTGACATGTATTGACACTCTTCCCAATATGTTTGGGATTCATGTATGAAACAGATCATAACTAAATATTTCTGTGTTTTATACTAAAATAGTACATCCAAAACAGCAGTCAGATTTTATAACACTTTTCACTGCTAATAGGATTCATTAGTCATATAATTGGAGTAATTTAATAAAATTTTTATTTTCCTAGAACATAAACGTCGGTTTGTTCACCACTTTTACTATAATTTCATTTTCAATCTTACAACACTTATCCCACACTATGCAACTTTAATTTCAACTGATAACTCGCTAACTGAAATTTAGACACTCAATCGAATATAAATCTCTTCATCAACGATGGTTTTATCTTTCATAGATAAAACATTTTTCTGGAAGATCTTCTTAGGCTTGTGACTGGTTATTTTGCATTTCAAAGTCATAAAGACTGCATTCAAATACTATCCCCGTTATTGTTTCTCACATAGCCAATAGGCTTATGAAGATTTTCTGTTGAGTAGTTAGAAATTTATAAATAACTAACAATATACTGGCTAATCAGTTAGTAGGAAAGAAGTATTAGGGAAAAGTTGATAATTGTGCAGTGTACCATTAAACAACTGGTTTCTTTACCCATCATGAACAATTTATCCTTCAATTAAAAAGATCTTGGAAAAGATTCACCTTATCTGAAGTAGTGATTTGCAAGAGTTTGTATTTACCCTTTGATAATGTTAAGAAATGTAATTAACCACTGGCATTTGTGCATCCTAAGAAGGATACCATTTGGTCACAAGTTTTTACTCAGGTTAGATAGCTTCCAGTAGTAGAATTCCAAACAGTTGGAGCCATCTGAGCTCGGTAGCTCAGTGAGAAAATTGGTGCTTTTTGAAGCGAAAGGCACTGGGTTCAAGTTCTACTGTGACCTTCAACACCGAAATACATGCATACCCATTTAGTAAGCCTCAAATAGGACGAAAGGTGCATCCGAATTCTACCTCTGTCCACTATCAAACTTCAATCAAAATTCAAAATAATGGCTATTGCTAATCAGATGGTAAACATCATAAGTTTTATTAATCGCTCTATGTAATAGATACTGAGGAGTAAATCAAAAATATAGTCAACTTCCAGTTCGGTATCTCGGCACTACTAAATCTAATATGCACGATAAGCATATAAATGTATATAAGGATTCAATCCTCTACAGATAGATTGCTTGTTTTCATTATCAGTGACCTGGAATGAAGAAATATAGGTCCTACAAAATCATATTATCATCCAAAGTAAATAATACAACTACATCTAATTCATAATAATTGTCTATCCTTAGAATTCAAGATTGATCATTTAACAATTTCACAGTTTATCTATTCAGTTCATCAACAGCTACTTTATGAAATTCTAAGTAGAAGGTTAGTTTAGAAAAGAAAAAACTAAAATAAATAGGCACAATGATGAACACTTTAAAGTGGAACATCAGTGGTATTTCGGTACATAATTATTTTCCCGTTCGTGCTATCATTGTAATGAATAGTCGCCAAACATAGATAATCAAAATTTGTGGGTGAGTACAAAAAAAAAAATAATGAGTGTCATAAGACCGTTAGTATTGTTTGATTCAAACAGTTGAACCAAGCAATGATTTCATGACAAATTAGCCGCAGTTTCAGATATCAACACTGAAATTCATTGAAATAACAAAATGGAATTACTTTTATGAACCTCTAGTGGTGTAACATGACATTAGAAACATACAAGCAAAGTCATTAAACAAGTCATGTTTATCTTTACTGTCTGCCCTAAGTGACAATTTTTCATAGTTCATCTAAAAATCAATGTAATTAAACTAATTAACTCAGCCTAATAACAAATTCGTTGAAAAGAGATCCTTTCGTTATATTTCACGTTTTTAATGTTCAATTAGGAATTATATATTAATTTTTGTTGTTAAGTGATTGGGAAATCTGAATTTTTTGTAATAAGATCGTCTTTGGGAAGTAAAACCATTCATTTATTGCCATAAGATTAATTAATTAAATCAGAAACTCCACAACCTAACTGTAAATCTTAAATTTGTTCACGATACTAAACCAAATTCCTTACTTAATTACGTCTGTTACTCCTCATGGAGGAGCGTGGGCCACTCACCAGCGTTCTTTATCCAACCCTGTCCCTGACAATCCTTTCAAGCTGCTATTCATTCTTTTCATGTCTGCTTCAAATTCCCGACATTATGCGCTCTTAGTCATTCCTCTTTTTCGTTTCCTTCAGAATTCCAAGTTAGCGTTTCCTTCGTGATATAGTTTGATGATTTCCGTAATGTATATCCTATCCACCTACAACGTCTTTTCCTAATTTCCTCTTCATCTCAAACCTCATTTGTTCTCTTCCACGATAGATTGTTGCTGATGGTATCCAGCCAAGGGACATTCAGTGTCATGCATGAACAATTGATCTGGTGAGAAGCCGTGACCAGTTGAGGTAGTCGGTGTCGGGTAGAGACAGGTATCCACCTCAGTACAATGGAAGATGGTCGCGCGATTTTATGGATCGGTTGAGGTTAGACATTAACACTGTTGGATGCCGACTCTGTGGTCTACAGATTAAGCGTTCGTGTACGAGGCTGAAGACCCTGGGTTCGAATCCTGCGAGCGGGATCGTTGATGCGCATTACTGAGGAGTCCCACAAAGTAGAACCGGCCGTCCAGTGCTTCCAGCGGTGGTCTAACATCAATCAGTTAATGATCTCAATCAAAAACTTAATAATCTACACAACCCTATATTGATAATTGTTCACAAATACTTGTACCTCATTGATGATGGTTCTCCAATTTTCACCTCCGTATAGTACAACTGTCTTGGCGTTCGTACTCCGTCGTATGAATTCCGGACGATGTTGACGATTTCCTCAGGTACTCCATAGTGTGAAAGTTTCCATAAGGTCCTAGTATCCACACTGTCAAATGGTTCCTCATAGTCAAGGAAGTTGATGTATATTGACTAGTTCCATTCAGTTGATTTTTTAACAATTATCTGTAGTGTCTCAATTTGGTCTGTGATAGATTGATCCTTACGTAATCCAGCCTGTTGACCTCGAAGTTGATCGTCTAAACCTAATTCGTAACCCTAGCTTTGTAAACCACATATTCATATTTGGTGTATTATGACTATCTGGATATGTTAAGTGTTTGTCAAAATAGTCTAAAGAGTCACTCAACATCGCCCTTATAGTTCGGCTTCACCAAAATACTAAGCTTAATGAAATTTATTTGTTTAGTCTTCAGTTACATCGCATATCATAACAATCTTGTTATCGACCCAAAATTGTTGACTTCAATAATGTTGTAAAATGCTTAAATTTCATTCTGATTGGCTGTTTATATATATATTCGTTAGGGAAAATGAACGCCTTTCCGTGAAAATTTTTGCCTACTAAAAACTATTTATCACTATAATTCATAGTATTTGTTCTGTTTTAGTACTACTGTAAGTCATAGCATATATCTTCAGCCTCTAATACTCTTTACTTGATATTTTCGTAAGGTGATATTCAAACGACTGTATATGAAATACTGATATAGAGGTAATGAAATTTCGTAGAAACAACATAAGGAGATATTGATATGGAGAGAATTAGGTGAAAATATCTCATCTTTCATACTAGTAAAAAGTAGTCCACTGATTATTTGTTCATTTTACGAACCATTATTTGAATAAAAAATATTGCCAACAATAATTTTCAGTATTAACAATTATTTACCTTGCGTTCCATTCTAGATATTGTTTACGTGAAATACGTTCATAAGATTTACAATAGATTCTTGATAAAGCTGGAGATATTAATTCAGTAATTAGAAATGAAGAAAAGATTCCAATTAGTATCCACCATAAATAAAATGATGTTTCGTTTGATATTGATCTGTGCATAATTCGATCATCTAATTTATCTGTTGTATTCATAATATATTACAAACTGTATTGTTATCGAAATATTTGTAAAAGCACTGACAAATGAATATATATATTCAGTTCAACCCATAGTTTGTAAATTCGAGGTCTTTTGATTGGTGAATTTGGCAAAAAAGACAACGACAACAGAAAAAGCTTACAATAGTAGATTAGCCTATTTATTTTGCTGTATTTTTTTATGTCTGTTAATGTTCTTGACCTATTTTCTGATAGGTTTATTAAAACTTACAATACATCAAGCACTGTTTTACTTTATCTTTTTGAACAAATGGAATGTTTACCTGATTACTACAAACATAATCTAGCTTCAACTGACTCATGATTTCAATCTGTGACAAACATAATCGTTTTGATAAGTGGGTTTTTTTTAAAAATTTCATTTACATTATCAAAGCGAACATTAAACAAAATCTTTTATGACTTGTAAAGTGGTAGCTCGAATGCTCTAACTCTTATCAATACTAATCATTCAGCTACAAATATTTCCTATCTATTACTCTAAGATCTTCAACTGGCTTTAGTTTGCATGTGACTAAAACCCTTTTTTTTAAATTATCTGGAACATGCAAAACTTCATGAATTTAGTTTAGGAGTTCATATACCTATTTTATATTCATTCATTATAGCAAAAGAATTTAATTTATATCATTGAAAATAATGCGGTATTTTTTCTTTTGAGTTTGACTAGGACTGAATAAACCTTTCTTTTTTTGTAAGAAAATATAAATTTTCGCGTATAATAAATCCTTTACAAAACAATCCTACTGTTACAAGAGCAGAGACGATATAAAAAAAATTCATGCTTAGTATGAGAACTATATGTTATCAAAGACAGTACACCAGGTTTTCTTGCAGGGTTTTATAGGATTATCAAAGGTCATTTTATAAAGAAATCAAGTTTGCCAAATCAGTATCCTTCAGTGATATATTTAAGTTACTGCTTGTGTAAAAAAATTATTTTTCTGTAATGTGAAATGTAGATTTGAATACATGAAAGCACAAAATCCTTTCCTGAATAAATTTATGATTCCGTTTGATTTCGATTTTTAAAGAAAACTATCGACAAACTGAACTAACATTAATCATAGTTTAGCACAACATTCAAATTTCCGGTACTCTATTCATTCAATGCCAATTGAAACTAATGAAACTAGCAATCAATAACTCCTATTTCCTCATGCACTATTGCTTTTTATAATAGTAAATTTACGGATGAGTTCACTAATCATGATATAATGTTAGGCTTCATACAGTTTATTGATCTCGTTCTTAGGACTCAATGGTTACTTATTATTGAAATACTAGAAAAATTACTTTTACGTTCTTCCCAATGGATACAACGTAAATTTTCAACACCAGTAGGATGAATTATTTTAAAACTGAAGTTATCAAAACACAACTAGATTTTCGAAGTTTGCATCATTTAAATAGATCCAAGTAAACAGTTAGTCATAAACTTTAATGCTCTTGAATTATCCTAGTTCAGTGTTTGTTAATTTCGTTATCCTGCAACATTATATTGTTAGTCTGTTTATTAACATTAGTTAAACTGATTATTCTACACAATGTTCTATATGTACTATATTATTGGTGCATTCTGAAATACCGCATTTTTCCTCAAATCTAGTTGAACAATAAACTACAATCTTTTTGTGAACAAATATCATACAAGCTTAATATAGAAATAAGATTCTTCATTGGTAATGAGGCTAATCAAGTACCTGCACTTAATGAGAATTCAGTCATTATAGTTGATCTGACGGTTAATTGAGCCCATTTCTTGCATCAAAATCTTGTAAATTATTTGATGTTTCTAAAAAGAAATTCACAGGAATTTATAAAACTGTAGATATTTATTAATTAACTATTTTCAACTAGTAATACCAAACTGATGCTTACATGTCAATACTTCCGGAAGATGTACAAAAGTTTTGAAATATCATATCCTTTTTGACAAGGTATATTTGATCAAAAAGAAAAAATTAAACTGTGAAACAATAACGTTTATACCTAATAACTGATTTATTATATAAATTGGCTTTGTTTCAATCTGTAAAATATATCCACTATACATTGTTTTTCAGTCTATAGTTTATTCTGGGAGTTGTAAGTGAATATTTTTCATCAATGTTTGGTTTAATATTTTTATCATAAGACTAATAACGAAGAATTCAAGACATTATTTGGAAATACAGTTAGCTATTTGACTGGTCAATCAACCTTCATTTGTTTCTATTTGAGTTCAATTAGAACACTGTCTTACTTGCTTAGTTACACCTGTTACTCCCAATGGAGCATAGGCCGCCGACCAGCATTCTCCAACCCACTCTGTCCTGGGCCTTCCTTTTCAGTCCATTTTTCTCACGTCTGTCTCTATCTTCCTGATTTCTCCCTCCACTGGGATCTGGTTTGTTCTCTCCCACAGTACATTGTTGCTGAGTGTCTGGCCAACGGATCTGAAGTATTTTGCGTAGACAACTGTTAATAAACACTTGTATGTTCTGGATGATGGCATTTGTAGTTCTCCAAGTTACCGCCCCATACAGCAGTACTGTCTTGACATTTGTATTGAAAGTTCTGACCTTGGTGTTGGTTGACAGTTTTTTTGAGTTCCAGTTGTTCTAGAATACTATCTACTTTGATTTAAGCAAGTAGATTGTAGTACTAATATAAGTCTATCTGAAAGCCTATCAGACAATCTGTATTTTATTATTAACTTTTAATGACAACACTTCTATATGACTAGAAATTATAATAAACTTGCTTTGACTTTTAAATGGCATAAGACTTTATTCACTTTAATGACATGTCGTACAATCATTTACGCGCAAACCTACCATGCCAGCAAACTCTCATAATTTAGTTTAAAACAAGTAGATTCTCAGTACATTGCAAATATTTCTGTTCAATAATTTCAATATAACTTGTCCACAGTAAGTAATTACAAAACGTTTATTAAAGTTGCTTTATCGATAAATCAATGATCCAGTGCCGTTACCTTGGTAAAAAAAACAAAACTGTAAACAAATCGAAAAAATACATTACTGTTTTCATAACTTCAGTATGATTGAAATTTCCTGTTATAAAGTTTCTCTTAACAACACTCTTATCCATTTCTTCATAAAATTCATTTACTATCGAGATGAGTAATCTCATTATGGTCATGGAAAGAAGTTAAATTCCTCTGAGGACTTGTTTAGAGATAAACGGAGAAATTTTATTTCGATCAATTGTTTGTAATAATAATAATAATAATAATAATAATAATAATAATAATAATAATAATAATAACCCCCCAATGTCACTACAGAAAAAATTAAGACAATTCAGTAGAGGAAATTCTTTTTATGGCTATGTCATTTATTAATGCTGGGCAATCTTCTTTATAATTAATTTATATTTCTATAATAAAATATACCAATAGTGAGTCATTTAAAAAGTGATTGGAAGTGTTTTCAAGTTTCGAATAGATTACGGATGGAAGATAATTTTGACTTAGAGAATATTAAGAAACTGGGAATATAGAGTAGTATTGGGCCAGATATTTCTTGAAATACCAAGTGTAAAACGCAAGTTATGTCATAATCAGACGGTTGATGAAGACATTTTATACACCATAGATAAATATCCATTTTATGAACATGAAGAACGGAATAAATAATCAGCTAATTAACAATTATGAGTAAAAAGAGGTAATAATAAAAGATTATTGAGTACTGGTGATACAAATAAGGCTCTGACCATGGAAGCCTGAGAATTTAAACATTAATTTTATGTACACACAGATTAGAATGGAATCGGTGGATTAATAAAGCATCAGTAGTAAATGAGTTTCTGATTTATATTTCATTTGAACCACTTCGTTTAACTTTATAGATGACTTTGAAGAAGAAATCTAGTGGGACAACGTGACCAGTAATTACGAAATATTTAAGAACTGAACTGTTGACTTTATTCATAGGAACTGTACTTGCATCTACTCCATTAGACACTAAGACAATTTTTGTTCTTTTTCAATTTGGTAATGAAGTCGTATTCTGCTTGAATTCAATTGAATTTTTGACTGAGTTTCATTAAGTAATGTACTTCTTCACTAATATTCACAGGTATGACCATTTGAAAAATGTAATTTCGTGGATTTACGGGTGTTTCAGCACTGGTTAATCTATGTGGATGGGAACATTTATTGAAACATTGAAGTTGATTTGAATGAGATCTTTCTGAAAAATGATTACCGGTAGATAGCTGTTGATAAATCTCTCAACATATTTATTTGGTTGTTTATATATCTATTTAATGGTCGAGTTCTTACATTCTGGTTTTCTTCAACAAGAATCAGATATCTGCGCTTTGAGAAAATACCTAGAAACTGGAGATTTACAAGCCTTACCATTCATACAACTTTTCTACAAACAAATCTATTAGTTATTCAAAATCTATCTATATTTATATAAAACTATATCCGTAAATGATTTAATAAACAAATGAGGACTCAAGAAAGATTTAGAATACTACACTCACAAAAATCTCTCTCAGTGTAATCAAATCTCACAAGTAATAAGCATTTCTAACAATGCTTTTTCAAAACGAAAGGAGTCCAGTAGGCCTTTTAAAAGTGTCTTTCTTCTTATCCACAGATTCCTAATGCAATTAGCGACGTTTAAAAGTACGATCGAAAAATTGTAATTATGGGAACAAAAGTCTGGTATGACTGTCCTCAAGTAGATATCTGTCAGACTTTCAGGTTTATTCTGACAATCTATTAAAAGCACACACGAATTCACGGAAATAAACCAACATATAACTAACTAACTAACTAACAACAGTTACTATTACATAAGTAGCAGAAATGCATAAACTTAACCATCCAGATCCATATTATGTGTAGAATCCTATACAAATTCACATGCTGTGCTACAGATCACTGATTAGGCTTTATGAACAAGCTCATATATGATTTGGAAGTGGTTTTCCAATGTATTTTTCAAGAACAGTAAGAAAGCCTTTCC